GTGTTTATAACAAACCCAGAGTCTGATCACTCCCTGGAAAGAGAAGAGTCTTTGCGGATGTTGGAGAGAAGTGATTGCCAGCCAGGCTTAAAGAGGGATGGATGAGAAGGAGAAAGCAAAGAGTGTAATTAATATCTTGCTGAATTAATGAGAAGCTATTTTGTGACGATTTAAATGGAAGTGGAAAAAAAAAGTGCCTAAAGTGAGAACACAATCTCACTTCTTTATTGCAGCCATCAGCAGCAAGCGACATCAACGGAACACTGTCAAGAAACACCCAGGTGGGAAAAGAAGGAAGATTTCCCAAAGCCAGCATCTCAGTTTGACATCAATTCAACTCCCTGTTGCTAGAAACAAAGCTCCAGTTTATCCAGTTGCCTTATCTCTCAATGTAATATTCTTGATAATGTGCCCTAGTTCAACCCTTCTCTCTCACTGCAGATTTCTTCCCAAGGCCACAGGCAGCTCTGTCAGCTGAATGCCATCCCAAGTGTTGCTTCTTAGCTGGTAAAACTCTGGAAAACAGGCTGGGCTAGAAAAGGTAAATCCTATCTGGAACACATCATGATTTCATCTGTCTGTGACAAGCTTCTGTAACCCCCAGACTAGTACCTCCTCTGCAGCTTGACTCGTAACTCCTTACAGATTTTTGCTTTACCAAGGAGTAAATCTAACCTTGATAAAGCATTTCCTTCCTAAGGATCAGGGAAAATTAAACAATGCATTTGGGGAAACACCTGCAAATAAGACACTTGGGGGACTAATTCATCTTGCATGTTTCATTGGAGAAACAAATCATTTGAAGTGCAGACGCTCACCCATCCCATCCTGCATGCACGCACACAACACCATGTACACAACAGTCATTCTCCAAGCACGGAAAATAATTGGTCCTCCTCTTTCTTTCATTAAACCCGGTAGAGGTGAAATGCAAAGCCAGTGCGCTCTCCTTCCCCTTACCTCTACAGACACATACACAGCGCATCCACAGAACTCCTGGGAAGGGAAAGTATGCTTCTAGTCAGGGGAAGAAATCAGTGGATTCAATTCTTTTCCCCAAAAGATCTTCAATGTAATAAAAATGACTGCAGAAAGCTAAGCACTCTCATCAAAAGGTTTGGTGGAAAGAAATAATATCTTATATCCATCCTCTAAAATAATAATTTAAAAAAGTCCAGATGCTTATTTAGGGAAAAAGCAAAAGAACTAAATAGCACAGTTTTTTGAATCACCTTTAAGAGAGACAGATGTTTTAGCACACCCCTATTTACTATGCAACAGGAATGAAGTCCTGTGTTACTTCCCAAAGTAACACATTGAGAAAGGTGATTTGTCAGAGAAACAATTTTACTGTAGCAATACCTAAACTTGGCTCCAGGAAAAACTATTTACCTGTTTGAGTGCCTTCTTGCTGTGCTTCTGCGATGAGGAGATGACTTTGCTTGCCTGGATGGAAGGGGATGGGCAGCCTGACTGAGGAGAGGATGTCTGTGACAGTCTAGATGACACTACAAGAAAAAATAAATATATATGTACACACAATTCAACCTTTATACATTTGCCTGCAGCACGTTATCCGGTCCTCACCATTTCAAATCATCTCATGAGGCTCATAAAAATTGCACCTCTAGCAAATGTTACTTTTTGCATGAAGAATCATTTCTGTTTCCTCCCCACCACCAAGGCAGCTGTTTGCCTCTGAAAGCAAACAGTGATTTCTATGACCAACTTCACATTTTTCACCTCTTGTCCACTTCTTTTTTTATTAATCTTGTAAACAGCTGCTATCAAGCAACACCACATCTTGAGAAAGCACCAGGCTTATGCAGGTTTAGCCAGTTCAAATCTAACAGGAAATACAGGCACAGGCAACAGTTGTCTTCATCTGGAATGACCTGTGGTCAGACACTTAATGATCAGATTAATTTCTGATCAGATTCAATACAAATCCTGTACAAGAGTGGGAAGACAAATAACATGCAAAGGAAGTGGAATTTGACTATCGCTTGCTCCTTTTTAAAAAGAAATATGGGAATACACAGGATATCCCAGTACATGAATGTATATTTTCTGTGGCTACACCTAGACACTCAAAAGAAATGTCTTCCTCACCATGTAGAGTCCTACAGCAAGGCTCCCAGTTTCAGGTGGTTTAAACTTTTAAATGATCTCATTACAACCAAAAAACCAATGACGGGAATTAAGGAACAGCTGGTCATGTAGCTCAAATGTACCTGTTCGGCACCGGATACTCAAAACACTCTGCTCTGGCAGCAGAGGGGTGACAAGACACATGGCCAGCCAGGGAAACTAGTTGCTTCCAGTCTCCCATAATCACAGGTTTGCCTCTGTTGTCTTGGCAAATATATACTGTACTGGCTAGCAACCCAGGTGAACTCGGCTCCATGCATAGAAAAAGCCAGGAAATCTGCACAGTAGGGCTAGTCACAGAATCACAGAACAGTTTGGGTTGGAAGGGACATTAAAGCTCATGCAGTTCCAACCCCCTGCCATGGGCAGGGACACCTTCCACTAGACCAGGTTGCTCAAATGTGTTTAGCTGCTGAGACTGAAATAGTACAACCAAAAAAGCCAAAACAAAGTGATGTTATGTGGTATGCCTTCCACTGCACAATGACCATAATAAAACATGTGCTATGGACGCAGAGCCAAGAACATAATAAGACACACACTAAAATAAAAGACAGACTAGGGATAACATGGGC